TGGCCACCCCTCACATCCTGCCTACAAACCCCTCTGCTCTTGGGGAATGAGGTCAGTGGTTCTCGTGGGGCATTAGTAGGAGACCTACTGGGTCGGAGCCCCTGGGGGTTCTGTCTGCTGTGCAGATGGCCAGGCCCTCCCCCACCCTGCACAGAAGCTAGGGAACGAGCATCCCTGATAAGGCCCCCTGGGGGCTGGTCCACGTCTTTCCAGCTGCAATTCCTTCCCAGCTGGCCAGAGGTGGACAGGTCTTGCTCTGCCCTCGTCTTTCTGCCCAGTGCAAACCTGCCCTCTCTGGCCAGTCACGCTAGGTCCTCTGAAGACCCCTCCCAGAGCCTGCGTGCACGTCTAACCCTCAGCCTGGGGAAGGAAGCCAACCACGTCCAGCCTGCAACCGGAGGCTGCCCCCTCGTGGCTGTGCCAGGAACACGCCGCTCAGGGATCCGCCCAGGCTCGGGGCGCCTCGGCCAGTCCGAGGCAGCTGGCCCCCAGCTCCTTCCAGGCCCCTTCCCCTATTCCCGTGTGGGGAGGGGGCTCCACCTGGCTGCACTGCCCCCACACAGGGCATCAACCGCTCCGCCCTGTGATGGGCACCAGCTGTCACATCCCTTCCTATCCCGGGGACGGCCAGTTTCTTCCCAAGGTAGAGCTGGGTCCTGGGCAACTAGACTGACAGGGAGCGCCCTACTCCTGGCCTGGGCCCGCCCCCCCACCATGCCCACCCTATGAAGCCCCCACCAGGTCCAGGAAGGCCTTGCTTATAGTGACACACCATGAGGGGGATGGTCTGGGTGGTCTCTTCTTGGTGGGGGGCCATGGTAATGCAGAGGTCCTTCCCAAGAGCGTTGCAATGTGGGGCGTCCCTGTGGTGGCCTCTGCACGGCCCTGGGCTTGGGGCTCCCAGGAGCCGCGGGCAGTGCCTTGTATCTGTGAACGGGAGTGACCACAGCTGTCCGCAGCAGAGGCTGGGCAGAGGGCTGTGTGGCCAGGGAGGCCAAGTGCCAGCGCCGGTGGCTAGTGTGTCTATGCTGTCCGCACTCATGGCTTTGCCCTCGGTTGTCCGCACCGGCACACTGAGTCTGGGAGCGACGAGGCCCAGCCCCACACCCCCCCGGAGTCTCTCTGCCTCTACGGGGGCCAGAGAGGCAGGCCACACCACACTCTCAGTGCAGTGATGTCTGGCAGGTGCTGGCTCTGCCCTACCCCCCAGGCAGTGCTCTCCAGTGCCCCCCTCCAGCCTAAAGTGTCCCTGGCAGGGGCGGGCACCAAGGAGGAGGCAGCAGAGGTCGTCCTAGGCTGGGGTACCGACCCTCCCTGAGCTTTAATGGGCGGATTTTTTTTTTTAATTTTTTTTTCAACGTTTATTTATTTTTGGGACAGAGAGAGACAGAGCATGAACGGGGGAGGGGCAGAGAGAGAGGGAGACACAGAATCGGAAACAGGCTCCAGGCTCTGAGCCATCAACCCAGAGCCCGACGCGGGGCCGAACTCACGGACCGTGAGATCTTGACCTGGCTGAAGTCGGACGCTTAACCGACTGCGCCACCCAGGCGCCCCTAACGGGCGGATTTTCTAAGCCACCACTGGTGGTGGCAGATGTGTTCCTGACGGCACCCTAGCTCTCCTCCCTGTGGAAGACTGAGGCCACACAGCCTGCTCCTGCCCCAAGGTCTCAGGGAAGTGGGTGGGGGAGGGCCCAGCTGTGCTAGGAGGGTCCCGTGCCCCAAGGCCCCCTGCCTCCCCTGTGTCCCCACTCCACTGGGGCTCACTGTGGTCGGGCAGTGAGCCCGCGGCAGGAACGCTCTCATGGCCTTCCCTCCCTCTGGCTGGGCTCTTCCATCCCTGGCTGGGCTAGGAGCTGCCTCTTCCAGGTAGCCCCCTGGCTTGCTGGGCCCACCCCCCACTCTCCTGCAGATTCCAACCCTCTCTGTATCCTTTCTCCCTTGACTGCCCTTTGCTGAAGGCTTCTGGGTTTCAGGTTCAGCCTGGGGCGGGCTGCCTGGGGGTGGGGAGCAGAGGTGTCTGGGAGAGGAAAGCAAGCAGGCAGGAGGGCCGTCCCCGTGGGACGAGATGGGGCCAGGCAGGAGGCGGGACACCCCTGCCCTGGGGTGGCATCGGGCCCCGTCTCCAGATAGCTTTCTGGAGGGACGCGGCACCCACATCATCGCCAGGGGACTGATGGACCTGTGGGCAGAGAGCCACGGGTAGAGGCTCGCCGGCGGGCTCCCGGGCCCTGCTGGGTCTGGGGTGGGAATCCTGATGGGGGTCTGCGAGCTGCACCGCCGCCCGCCGCCCTCCCCCCCCCCCCCCCCCCCCCCGCCCGGACACATCGCCGGGTGTGGGTGTCAGAAAGGAGCAGCCGGGGATGGGACTTCGTGGGGTCCTCGTCTGGGCCTCACCTCCCTGTCAGCACCCCCTGCTGCTTGAGGGGCCTCCCGAGCCAGGAGGTTAGTGGGTAGGAGACCCCATTTGGCCAAGTCATGCCCCCTGTGTTTGGGGCTCAAGCCCCCTGCCGGCTGCCGCTCTGAGTGGGGTCAGCCTTGGGCGACCTGCACCAGGCTCTGGTGCTCTGCCCCGTCCTGTTGACGCCCTCGTTCCCTGGGGCGGCGTGGGCCCCTCCCGGGTGGGGAAGAGGATGGCCTTCCCCCCGGGCTCCCTCCCTGGCAGGCCTTACTCCTGGGTGGCACCAGCACCTCGGGGGTCTTCTGTGACACGCCCCGCTAGGAACGCCGTGCCTGGGCCTGGCCTCCTCCCCCGTCGCCCTGCCCGGCCCTGGACAGCAGCTGAGCTCCCACGGTGGCTCTGAGTGGGAGCCCAGGGTGCAGGTGGCTTTAACCACCTGTGCAGTGGGCATCAGCACACGTGTGCCGGGCAGCCTGGCCCTCAGGACCCGTGCTGCCGCAGCTCATCAGACCCCCTTCAGCTGCCCTAGCACCTGCCTGGCCACGGGGGGCCGGCAGCGGGGGGCCGGCAGGCGGGCAGGGCCTTGCACCGTGGCCCTTACCGGCCGGAGAGCCGGGTGGGTCCCCCATGGGACTGGACACTATCCTGGGGACGAGGAATGAAAGGTCTTGCCCCTGCAAGTCCACAGTGGTCTGGACCCAGAGCCCTGTATGTCCAGTTCTCCCATCTGGCTGGCACCTGTGTGGAACCACGGGCAGGGGAGCCTCCCGCACACAGCGCTGGCCACGGGCCACACGTGGGAGAGAGTCCAGGGTCCGAGCTGGGAAAGCACTCCGGGCAGAGTAAGCAGCACGTGTACCCCTGGGGGCCTGGGGGGGGTGTCGGGGAGGGGAGGGCAGGGCTGCAGCCTGCGGGCTGCCGGGGAACCAGGGCTATGGCAGGGCCCAGGGCCTGCGGCCGGCCGATCGGGAGGCTGGGGACGTGGCTCTGTGGGTTTGGGGCACCCGGGCTCAGGAGAGGAGGGGCGGGGGTGACCCTGCTTCTCCTCCGGGGAGGCTCATCCCTGCCCTGGGGGATGTGACATCTGCTGGGTGTCAGGCAGGAAACAAAGAGCTCCCAGGTGAGGACCGTCTGGGCCACCAGCTTTCCTGTCTCACTGGACATAGAGTCATCTGTGACCGTTAAAGTTTTAGGGACAGGGGAGGCTGGGAGAGGCCTGGGTGCTGTCGTTCCTTCCCGGACTGGTGGCCCACCCCTGGGCTCAAGAGTGCCCGACGCCCCGGGCCCAGGCTGGCCAGAGTCTCCTTCCTCCCTGGGATCCCCCTTCCCGGCACCGCACCCCAGGCCACCCCTGGCTTCTCCTGTTCTGCTGTGGGGCCTGCCGCCCTCGGCTGTCCCCAGAGCCCCCAACCTTGCTGATCCTGGCCTGTGGTGTCAGGCAGGGGTGTGTGCTCGGCTGCCCCACTGCCTCCTCCCCAGGGCCGGGCCTGACCCCACACTGCCCTGGAACCCCGTGTGGGTCCCTCAGCTGTGCAGGCCTGCTCCGACCTGCTCGTGGGGTGCAGATGCCAGCAGCCAGCCGGGCCCCACCCCGCGGGGCCGTGGGGCGCGGGGCGGGGCGGCTCTGGGACCCAGCAAGAGATCTGCCGATGGCACGGCGGGTGCAGTCCTGCCCGGGCCTGCCGGGGCTCCTGCAACCCGGTCGGGCCTGGGGTCTGCGTCTTCCCACCCGCCCCTCGGTGCCCAGCGTGGGAGCTGAGTCCTGGGGCCGACAGGGTGAGGTGACCAGATGTGGCAGACCGGGCAGCCGGAGCTTTGGGGAGCAGATGACTGGGGTCTTCAGCCACCACTTCTAGCCAAGTGACTGGGGAGGGGGTGACCGATGCAGGTTCCTGGGCCCCCAAGGCACCCACCTGGAGACGTGGCAGCAGGACTGGAAGGGTGGCCGGGGTGAGGCTGCCCCAGGGGGACTCGGCGGGTGAGCAGTGCCCCCCCCCCCGCCACGAGGTCACTCGCTCGCCCGGGGCCCTGGGTGGGCTGGGTCCTTCCCTGCTCTGGCCTTGCTGGTGTCTGCTGTGGAAGGAGCTGGCAGAGCTCTGGGCCGGGGCCTCAGCCCAGATGGGGCAGGACTTTGTTGGAAGGGCCTATGTACGCCTTGGGCTGTGCCTCCCCTGCCCTGCACCCCCTAGCCTGGCCAGCTTCCTGCAGGGAAACTGAGGCGCGGGGCCCAAGAAAAGCTTGCCCGGAGCGTCCTATCTGCATCTGCGTACCTGTCTACACAGCAGGACTGGACTGGACTGCACGGGCGGGTGGTAGTGACTCAGACATCCCTGGGCGGGCGGGCGTTTCCTCTCCCAGTCAGCTGCTTGGGCTGGGGCGGGGGCGGGGGCGGGGGGGGGGGGCTCTGGGGGAGGGGCGGGCTCCCCAGCTCCTTGAAGCCCAGGGGGAGGGACCTGGCCCAGCTCCGGGCCTGTGAGGGGGCCGCCCATCCCTCTGGTGGGGCTCCAGGCAGGCCTGAGGAGGAGGAGGCCAGGGCCTGGCAGCGGAGGAGGGCTGTGGAGGGGAGGGACCCGGGAGGGCAGCTGCAGGGAGCACCAGCTGGGACCTTCACTCCTGGGCAAGCTGGGAGGACTTCTGAGCTGGGTAAGCCACAGCGGCCGTGCTCTGTACCTGCCCCTGCCCCCTGCCCCCTGCCCAAGTCCAGCCCTTGGGCCCCTGCCCTCTTCACTGCCTGAGGGGGCTGGGTGGGGGGCTCGGGCTGCGGAGCTCGGCTCTTATGTCTCTGGCCCTCTGCCCTGCCTCAGCCTCAGCCCCAGCCCTCCTTAGGACAGGCATGTCAGTTCACGGCAGCCAAGGCCGTGGCCAGGCATAGCCACTGCCATCCCAGGACAGGCAGGTCCCCAGGCTGGACCGTGAGGCCGGGGAGGGCTCCTCAGGCAAGGCCAGCTCCCCTGCAGGTGCCGCATGGGCAGTGGGGGCCTGCAGGGGTGGGCAGGATGTCTGGGGGGTCCTGGCCTGTCAGCTCAGAGACAGAAATAGGTTTGGGCCCACCAGTCCCATCTGGGACGGGCGGGACTGTGGGGGCCTTTCCTTTTGGCTGCCGGGCCCTTTGGAGCTGGTGGGCTGGTGTGCCCCCCCCCCCATGCCTCAGTTTCTCCAGGTGCAGAAGGAGAAACGCTGGGCCCACCATTGCCCGCCTAGTGCCACAGCTCAGGGGCGTCCTCAGACTGGGTGGGACGTGCCCCTTCCCAAGAGATCTGCCCTGCTCCCCGTCTCCTTCCTGCACTAGCCCTTATTATGCACCTACTGTGTGCCGGGCTCTGAGCGCTTGGGGCCAGAGATGAGGCGGGGTGGCCACACTGGGCCTGTGAGTCGGCAGAGGAAGCAGACGTGAGAAGTGCCCGGGCCGGGGAGAGAGCCCGGTCTGGGGTGCGGCTCCAAAGGTCTGGGGCCCAGGCCTCTGCAGGCGGGACTGAGGGTGTCCTGGGGCTCGGCGGACGGGGCTGGGCATCTGGGGGCGGGACAGGGTGGTGTGGAAGTGTCCAGCTTGCAGCTGTAGCAGCAGCGAAGCCGGTGGGCCAGGACGCTCGCCCCCAGGCCAGGGCAACCAGGCAAGAGCCGTGGGGGCAGAGGCGGGAGCCGAGCTGGCCTCCCCAAGCAGCACGGTTACCCTGAGCCAGTCGGGAAGGGGGGCAGGCCCTGGCTGCCTGTGGGTGTTGCTTCGGGAAGTCTGAAGGTCTCATGACCGGTCAGCCGAGCCCAGCACTTTCCTCGTGAAGTTCCAGGATGGGGTGAGGCCCCAGCGTGCCGTGTGCCCGTGTCGGCCCTGGGCTCCAAGCCCAAGGGCAGTGTCCCCTGAGGGGAGAGCTGACTCAGGCGCCCCCATGGCTCCCTGCCTGGCTGGGGGGCCTTGCCCGGGACTGTGTACCCGTGCTCGAGGGAGGGTTCCCGAGCCAGGCACACACGTCAACACCCACGGTCTCATAGGCGCATGCACGCACGCACCCACCCGTGATGGCTTCTCGGGCCACCGCTGCCCTGGCGGCACGCAAACGCCCCCACCATCCCTGGCCCGCCTGGAGGGCAGCCAGTCTCCGTGCAGACTTGGGTTTTGTTTAAGCAAAGTTGCCCCACCCATGGCTGGCCCTACTCTGGACCCTCCGAGCACCCCCACGGCCAGGGGCTGACAGGGGAGCCCTACGGGCAAGGTGAGCGCGGGGGAGTCATCCTGGGCAGACACCCCACTGTCTGCATCCCCCTGCACCTGCTCCCCCTGTCAGCTCACCTCACCTTGGCTCTGCCCTCTCCCCAGACCCACTTCCTTGAGCCCCGCCCTAGAATATTCCAACATTCTAGGGAGTGAAACTTTTCGGCTGACCCAGGTGCGTACTCCCCTCACCCCTCACCCCAAGTCCTGAGCCCCTCCTCCCCGACCCTGGGTACAAGCACCGGCCCCAGTTGGATGTTACAGTCACATCTGAGGCCACGGAAGGGTCAGGGTTTGGGGCTGGATGGACGCGGCAGGGCCCCGAGCCAGGAGGAGGCCGGGGGAGGGCCTTTGGGGGGACACCAGGTGCCAGCAGTCAGAACCGCTGGGCTGGCTCAGCCTGTCGCCCCTGCAAAGTGGGGGTGACTGTATTTTTAGTAGCCATTGTTCCAGACGACCGTCGGGGCTGGACTGTCCACAGAGCCTGTCTGTGGGGCCGCAGGGGGCAGGGGGCGGGTCAGGCAGAAGGACAGGACACCTTCCCCTGCAGTCACTGCTGAGCGGGGCCCACGGGCATGGGGGCCGGTGGGGCGAGGCTCTGGGGGGCACTGGGGCCTCCTCCCTCCCCGGGGTGCGGGCCCAAGGCTGGCAGCCTGCTGGCATCAGACAGGCGGGATTTCCTCCTTCCTGTTTGTGCGTCCCTGGGCCCGAGCGGGCCAGCCAGCGGCTGTGCCTAGGGGGGTGCAGGAGGGCCTAGAGCCCGAGCCCGGCACCTCCTGGCACCTCCGTGGGGTGCGGCCTGGGGCCGAGCGAGCCACCTCTTAGAGCCCGCTCTTCACCCTGCAGGGGTGTGGAGCCCGAGGGGCTGTGGTGAGGCTGGTTCCCAGCGAGGGGCGTGCCCCGGCTTCCGTGCTGTCAACACCTTTCCTCACCCGGGCCCTGGACGCCCACGGGACACTCCTGGAGTAGATTTGGGGGTGCAGCTTCTCAGGGCCGGGGATCCCTGCTGCACCGCGGGAGGCTCCCACCGCCGCGCGCCCCCATCCCACCCACCCCACCCCCAGGCACAGGGCGCCCAGCTGGCAGGTGGGGGTGGCCCTTCCCAGGCCTGTGGGACTCCGCCCCGCTGCCTCTCCAGGGACACGCCCGGGGAGAGGGCGGTCGCCGGCTCCTGTTTTGTTGTGTGACTCAGGGAAACGGGCTGCGGAGGCTCTGGGCGAGGACGGGCGGCCGCGAGTTTCTGGGCGGGCCGGTGACACCTGGCGGAGCTCCCCCTGAGCGGCCTCCCCCCCCCCCCACCTCGCCTGATGGCCCGGGCCGCACCCCCGACCAGACCCTTCTTCTCCCCACGCGCTGCTGGCTGGGGTGGGTGGGCACCTGTGCGTCCCCTCGGCCCCAGCCGTGTCACCAGAGCTGGTGTGAGATCAGTGCGTTTCCTCTCGGGATGTTTAGTACGATTCGGGGGCGCCGGGCTCAGCTGTGTGTGTGGGAAGGTTCTGAGCTGATCGCTAACTCATCACAGAACCGTCTGGTCCGCTCTGCAGTGTCCGCAGGGGGCTTGTCTGCAGATAACCCAGTACGTCTGAATGTGCACATTCACGGGCATAAAGTTGATGATTTCCTCATTTCAACTTTATGTAGAATTTTAAAGATTCCCTTTTTAAAAAAATTGTTAATGGTTATTTTTGAGAGAGAGTGGGGAAGGGGGCACGTGGGGAAGGGGCAGAGAGAGGAGGGCACCCAAGATCGGAAGCGGGTTCTGAGCTGTCAGCACAGAGCCGGACGTGGGGCCCGAACCCACGAACCTGGGCCGAAGTTGGACACTGGACCAACTGAGCCGCCCAGGCGCCCCTTAAAGATTCTTTATCGGGGAAGAGTACAAATCCTAAGCGTGAGGCTTGATGCATTTTCCCCAAGTGGCCACACGCGTGTCCCCAGTGCCCCTGTGGAGAAGCAGCTGTCCGGGCGCCAGAGGCCCTTCCCCCCAGGCTCTGCCCTCCCCAGAAAGCTTGTCACGTGAGTGGGCTTGTGCCTGACGGTGAACGGCATAGACTAGACTTCCGTCTGCACTCCTTTATCCGTCACGTCGTCGCCAGAGAGCATTCCATCGGACAAATAGCCACGGCTTCTCCTCGCTCCACTGCCGGTGGACATTTGAGACTTTCTGGTTTCTGGTACTACCATGGTTCCAGGATGGGCATTCCTGTACCTGTCCTTTGGGGAGTGCATTTTTGGGGGCATGCCCTTGGGTACGGAGCTGCTGGGCCGTAGAGCAGGGTGGTCAGACTTCAGTAGCTACTGCTGGCGGTTTTCCAAAGTGACTGTGCCGGGGCACCCAACGCCCACATCAGGGTGGCGTTCCCGTCGCCCACGCGCGGGACAGCTCTCTGGGAGGTCCCCCTTGCCCGTTCCCGCCGTTCCCACCGTTCCACTGTGGCAGTGGAGCGGTATCTCGGAGCTCCCACTGGCCGCTGTCCTGAGGACCCAGCACGCCGTGCGCCTTTCCGTAAGTTAATTCACGGCTCGGCGGCGTCTGTTGTGAGAACTTGCCTTTCCAAGTTCTTCTCGCCCCTTCTTCCACTGGGTTGTCTGTCTTTGCCTTTTGTGTCGCACGAATTCTTTGTACATTTTGGGTAGGAGGCTGTGGTTTGGTAAGCGTGTTGCAAATCTGTGCCCAACCCGTGGCCTGGCTGCTCACTCCCTCAGTGGTGTCTTCTGACGAACAGAAGCTCTTCACTTTCGCGTAGACCACTTGGCCATTTCCTTCAGGGAGCGCGCTTTCTGTATGCCGGTTAAGAGTCGCTTTCCTACCGCAAAGTCATTTCTGTTGATCGCCTGGAAGCTTCACTGTTAAGCCTTCCACTTTGGAACGACAATCCCCGTGACGTTAATACTTCCTGTGGCTGACGTAAGGGTTGACATTTGTCTGCACGGATCGCCAACAGACCCAGCACGAGGGACTGAAAACACCTATCCGTTTCCCACAGCTTCGTGTCTAGGAGTCTGGTTCTGGGATCTTTGTTCTGTTCTGTTGGTTTTAATTTTAATTGGTTTAATTTGTTCATTCATTTTAAATGTTTATTTACTTATTTTGAGAGAGAGCGCGCATGGGGGAGGGGCAGAGAGAGAGGGGGACACAGAATCCGAAGCAGGCTCCAGGCTCCGAGCTGTCAGCACAGAGCCCGACGCGGGGCTCGAACCCACGAACCGCGAGATCACGACCTGAGCCGAAGTCGGACACCCCGCCGACTGAGCCGCCCGGGCGCGCCTGCCTTGATCTTTGAAGGGTGGTTTGCTGGACGCGGGATTCTCGCTTCACAAGGTTTTCCCCTGAGCAGCTTGGGTGCCTCGGGCCGCATCCTCCCGGCTCCCAGGGCGTTGGGCGTGGACCGTGCCGCCGAGCCCGTCACAGGCGGGTCTCGCTTCTCTGGCCACTTTCGCGCCCTTCTCCTCCTCTTCAACCCTGCGGCCCGGATGCGTTCGGGGCCGGGCCTCTCTCTGACTGGCACGCTGCGACCGCCGCGTACCGTTGGAAACCACATTTCCTCCGCCTCTCTCTCTCCTTTCCTTCGACTGCTTGTGTGCTGCTGGGCTGAACGTGGCCCCGCGACCTCACGTGCGCTTTCGTTCTCTTGAACCTTTTTTCCTCTGTTCTCCAAACTGGACAATTTCTTCAATCTCTTCTTCTTCTTCTTCTTCAAGTTCTTAGTTTACTCATCCTCTCGGGAAACTTCTCCGCGATTTTCAGGAATCACCAAGGGTCCCTGCAGACTCTTTCCTCCTCCTCGTTGCTGGCGCCCACATGGCGTTTGCAGACCTCCTGACGTCCTTGGCTCTGTTCTTGCGTCCCTTTCCCCGTGTTTTCCTTCGTGTACAGGCCGTGTCTTACGAGTCCACGTTTGGGTTTGCTGTTCCTGCACGATCCAAGGGATCATAAACCGCGCCACCATCAAAATGGGCTCTGAATCCAATACGAAGATGACTCTGGTGTGGTCTTGTCCATTTGGCTCCTTTTTCCCGAATTTCTGTCTTAGGTACGGTCGCCTTTCCGGGGTGAGCAGCATCAGTGACCAGCTGCTTGCGCTGAAGTCGTCGGGCGGTCATGAACTTCCTGGTGCGGGTCATTGCTGTGTGGTTCACGATTGCGGCCGAGCCTCCCGCAGCCAGGGGGCCGAAGAGACCAAAGCGGCCAGTTTCTCTTCGCTTTCGAGTTTTTCGATTCTTTCTTCTGGCATCTCAGTTCTGATATTGAGTCCCAGTAGTACATTTTTCAACTCCAGAATCTCTGTGTAGCTTGGTTGTCACTTGCACGTCTTTGCGACGACGTCTCTTCACTAAGCCATCGTACTTTCCATTTCTCGTAGCTGCTTGCAAGTCTGTGCTCAATCCAACACCTGTGGACGTTCAGAGAAGTTCCAGCACTTGCTTGTTCCTCCGTATGGATCATACTTTGCTGTTTCTTTGCGTGTCGCGTAACCCTCGGCTGACTGCTGGACACCGTGGGTTCCGTACCGCGGCAGCCCTGCACCCCGGCCTCCCTCGGGGCTGGGCGCGTTCTTTCCTGCGTGTTTGCTTACTGACTTTCTTGGACTAAATCCGTGAAGTGTGCCTTGTCTGAGCTCCCCTCGTGCAGGCTCTCTGCCATCCGGCCTGCGCGTGCCCTCAGGCCCAGCGTCCGGGATGGGGCCACGTGTGCACGAACGCGGTGCGTAGACTCTCCGGGGCCCCTCCCCCCGGGCCCGCCATCTGGTCTCCGCAGCCCCGAGGCCGCACTGACTCAGCCTCTCTCTCCGCAGTGTCTGGCCGGCAGCTGCAGTCTGAGGACCCAGATGCAGAAACGGAAGAGGACCCCTCTGTAAGCAAGGCCCGGAGGATGCATGCCCTCCCGACACAGCCCCCGCCCTTTGGTGGGCCTGGGCAGAGCCCCCCTGATTGTCCTCTCCTGCCAGGTGACCGAAGGGCCGGTGGACGAGATCGTCCGGCCGAGGCCACAGGGGTCCTCGCCGGTCTACGAATGCACTGCTGAGGGTGCCGGCTTCGGACTCCCGGTAAGCCTGCCGGACGGAGACCCACAGGCTGAGGGAAAGTGCGGGTGTGGGGCCACAGGGGGCCGCGTCTCCTTCGTCGCCCCGTGTGGGCAACTGGCACCATTTGTGCAGCCACACGGCCCTGCCCTGCCCTGCCCTGCCGCCCCCTGGGCCACAGTTCCAGCCGTTCCCACAACCTGATCTTCTGTCCCTCGGGACCCCTCCCTTCAGGTGGCCGGGACGCAGTTGAGAGGGCGCATGCGTGCGTGTGTGCATGCGGGGGAAGAGAGCCCGCACTCTGGACGTGCACACACGCCGTCTCGCGGAGGAGGCGCGGGGGGGCGGGGGGTGCCGGGGAGGGGGCCCGGGGGACCGAGGGAGGCCCGGGGGGCGCCTTCTTGCTAAATCCTTGTTTTCTTTTATTTCCTCCTCCCCCTCCACACAAAACCCCAGTTGCCGTGGGGTTTGCCCTGGGTGCGGGCGCTGGGGCCTGGGGGCTGGGCCCGGTCGGGAAGCACCAGGGCCAAGGGCCGCCTCCCCGCCGCCCCACGCGCTCAGCTTCCTGGCACGCGGCACCGCTCCGGGCCCCCCGCGTGCTCAGGGCTGAGGCAGGTGGGTGACCCCTGGCATCTGTGCCTGCAGGGGGAGGACACAAGGAGAAGGCGGGCTTCCTCGGGCTCGGGGGGTCGGAGGTCCTGGTGGAAGCGAGACTCGGGAGACGCTCGAACGTTTTCCAGGATGAGTCGTCGGCAGGTGGGTGTGGCCGCGCCCGAGGGTCGGGGTGGGGGGGGCCCGCTCTGGGGTGGTGGGAGTGGCGGGTCGGAGCAAGGAGAGGGACTTGCTTGTCGCTTTTGTCAGGCGTGGTCTGCGGGCAGGGGCTCCAGAGGCTGCTCCGGGCTTCCCCTGAAACCTACGGGGGTGGGGGGGGGGAGCAGGGACACCGGGCCGGTAGAGCCAGGCGCGTGGGCCTCGGTGTCCCCGGCTGTGTAATGGGTGCAGCTGCTTCACAAGCCAGGGGCGAGGCTGGGTTCCGGGGGCTCCCTGTGAGGAGGGCGCACTGCCTCCCGAGGCGGCCTGCTCTGCCGTCGGTGGGTCAGCACCTCTGAAGCCGGCTGGGACCGGAAGCGTCCGCTGGGTCTGAGGTCAGGCTGGCCGCACCGTGTGCCGTGCGCCCCGGGGGCTCCTCAGAGAGTATCAGCCACGCTGCACGTCATCGCTGCCGGAGTGTGTGAAGAAGGAACGAGACTTTGGCCGCCCAGCCGGAAGGCCAGCCTCCTCGGCCCCATCGGGCCTACGGGGCTGCCCCCGAGTCCTGGCGGGTGGGGGTGGGGGTACGAGGAGGCCGCTCCCACGGGAGGTGGCTTGCAGCTGGCTTCCTCCGGAGCTTGGACACACAGCCTGGGCTCTGGCTGGGGGCTCCTCCTCTTCCCCGCGTCACCTGGATGAAGGGCGGGACTCTGGAGTCCCCGTGTGCAGGGCAGGGGGGCTCCCAGCACCGATGGCCACAGCGGCACAGGCCGATGGTCGCCACGGCCCCTGTGTGCTTCTGATCCAGTCCGTGCAAGAGGCGACAGAGGTGACGCTGAGGACAGACGTGGAGGCCGGAGCCAGTGGCTACAGCGTCACAGGGGGCGGGGACCGAGGGATTTTCGTCAAGCAAGTGCTGAAGGATTCCTCTGCCGCCAAGCTCTTCAGCCTAAGAGAAGGTGCCCTGGCCGCCCCACCCCTGCGGTCCCCACGGGTCCCACCAGGACGGGAGGGCCCCGGGGCTCAGGACGCCCCCGAGGACCCTGCCAGGCCCTTTCGGGCTGAGCCGGGCTTGCTCTCTGTGCGGCTGGGTGGCCTCCTTCCCACGCAGGGCTCCGTGCAGGGTGGGCCGGGCTCCCCATCAGGGGCCCCTCTCACACACCCCTGTATCTCTGGAAGGAAGGGCGAGAGCGGGGAAACTGAGGCCAAGGGCCCACTCTGTGTTTGTCTAGGTGATCAGCTGCTCAGTGCAACCATATTCTTTGACAACATTAAATATGAAGACGCTCTCAAAATTCTTCAGTACTCAGAGCCTTACAAGGTTCAATTCCAAGTCAGACGGAAACGTCCTGCCGCAGGGGATGAGGAAGGGGTCTCCGGTGGCGCTCAGCACGGCCACAAGGACAGTGAGACGCAGGTGAGGCTGGGCCCCACCGACCGCCCTGCTCCCGGGGCCGAGGCTGAGTGGGGGGCGCCCTCCCCTCCCGCATCTGTCCTGTGAGCCCAGGGCCCTAAAATTCCCATGCTACTGCTGCCACGCTCCCTGTCCTTGTATTTCAGGACAAAGATGTCGCCGATGGGTGCACAGAGACCCCCACGAAGACTGTGGAAGGAAGTGGAGACAAGGAGAGACTGATCTCCAAGCCCAGGGAGGGCAGGGGCAGGCCGTCCCAAAACGAGAGGCTCTCCTGGCCCAAATTCCAGTCAATAAAGACCAAGCCCAGGTCAGGGCCGCGGAGGTCACACAGCTCTTCAGAGGCCTGTGAGCAAGGACACCCACCTGACATGTCCCCCACGAGCACAGACACAGAGGCCCAGCTCCCAACAGAGGAGCAGGAGCAGAAGGCAGGACCGGACGGCCAGCGGAGGAGAAGGTTCCTGAACCTGCGATTCAGAGTGGGCTCAGGGAAGGGTCCAACACCGGGGGCGAGGCCGAGCACAGAGGTCCAGTCCGGGGTCCTAGAGGAGGCAGCATCCTGGGATGACGGCCAAGAGGGCGCCAAGGCCAGCACAGACAGGACGGTGGAGGGACCAGAGGGGACATCAGCTCTCACTGCCCAGCAACCCGTGGAGCCAGGCCGCCCCAGCGAGGGAGCCTTGGGGGACGGGGCCAGCGTGGCACCCAGGCGCCGAAGAAAGACAAAGGAAGTGAAGGACCAGGTCGACTCTGTGTCAGACGGGAAACCCAGGATGGACTCAGGCCCAAAGCCAGGCGGAGACGGCCACAGAGAAGCAGTCCAGGGCACAGAAACTGGGATTGCCACATCGGCTCTGCAAGGCAAAGTGGACACACAGGGCCGCCAGCCGGAGTTCCAAATCCAAATACCCGATGTCAAAACGCCCAGCTTTGAATTCTGCGAAGAAACAATGCCAGACAGAGAAGCGGGCACAGCAGCACGACTGCAGGGACCCAGACACGGAGGTCCTACAGAAGAGGCCACGGGCACGAAAGAGCAGCCTGACCACAGACCGGGGCCACAGGTGGCCGGAAAGCCTGCAGGGCCCCTGACAGAACGGGAGGAAGGAGGAGGAGAGGGAGCTGAGGCAGGGCACGGAGAGGCACACGCCGAAGACGGGGACACACACGCACAGGGCAGGCAGGAGAGAAAAACTAGGTTCAAATTCAAAACACCCTCATTCGGATGGTCTCCAGGAAAGGACATAAAATCAGGTCAGGAACAGGACAGAGAAATAGAGAGCACGCTCACGACTCTGACCGCACAGACAGGTGCCAGAGTCAAACAGTCAGAGCGGGAAAAAACAAAATCAGACACGCCCGAGCTAGACTCAGGAGCCACAGAGGCAGAAAGACAAGGTGTTCAGACAACTCAAGCCGATTTTACTCTGGGAGAAAGGGAGGTGGCCGCCAGAGACAGCAAGTTCAAAATGCCCAAGTTCAAGATGCCATCTTTCGGTGCCTCGGCGCCAAGCAAGTCCTTGGAGGCCGCGGTGGACACGTCCCTGCCCAAAATCCAGGCGAAAGTGTCCCTGCCCTCCATGGAAGCTGACGTCAAGACCAGGGATGTGACCGTTGAGCTGCCATCTGGTGACTTAGAACTCAAGACATCCATGGTGGGGGAGAAGGTTCCAGAAGGCCCAATACCTGTAGTGGAGCTCCATGAACCCTTGGTAGGAACCGGAGTCAAAGGGCACCTGCCCGAGGTGCAAATGCCCAGCATGAAGATGCCGAAAGTGGACTTTAAGGCACCCCAGGTGGACATCAAGGGGACGAAGATGGACATCAAGGGGCCCAAAGTGGACCTGAAGGGCACCAAAGGGGGGGTGAGCATGCCAGACGTGGATGTGATGCTGCCGAGCGCAGATGTGGACGTCCAGGCACCCACCGCCAAGTTGGAGGGTTATGTTACCCTGGGAGACAAGGAGGTGGCCGCTAGAGACAGCAAGTTCAAAATGCCCAAGTTCAAGATGCCATCCTTCGGTGCCTCGGCGCCAAGCAAGTCCTTGGAGGCCGCGGTGGATGTGTCCGTGCCCAAGATCCAGGCGGAAGCGTCCCTGCCTTCCATGGAAGCTGAGGTCAACACCAGTGATGTTACCATTGAGCTGCCATCTGCTGACCTAGAACTCAAGACTTCCACGGTGGGCCAGAAGCTCCCTGATGTTCAGGTGCCCGAGCGAGAGCTCCAGGAGCCCTCAGCAGGAGCCGGGTTCAAAGGGCACCTGCCCAAGGTGCACATGCCCAGCATCAAGATGCCCAAAGTGGACATCAAAGCCCCCCAGGTGGAGATCAAGGGGCCCAAGGTGGACATCAAAGGACCCAAAGGGGAGGTGAGCACCCCTGACATGGATGTGACCCTGCCCAGTGTGGAGATGGACGTCGAGGCACCCAACGCCAAGTTGGAGGGTGACGTTACCCTGGGAGACAAGGAGGTGACCGCTAGAGACAGCAAGTTCAAAATGCCCAAGTTCAAGATGCCTTCGTTCGGTGCCTCGGCGCCAAGCAAGTCCTTGGAGGCCGCGGTGGACGTGTCCCTGCCCAAGATCCAGGCGGAAGCGTCCCTGCCCTCCATGGAAGCTGAGGTCAAGACCAGGGATGTGACCGTTGAGCTGCCATCTGCCGACCTAGAGGTCAAGACTGCCATGGTGGGCATGAAGCTTCCAGAAGGCCAAATCCCTGAAGGGGAGCTCCAGGAACCTTTGGCAGGAGCCGGAGTCAAAGGACACCTGCCCAAGGTGCACATGCCCAGCATGAAGATGCCCAAAGTGGACTTTAAGGCACCCCAAGTGGACATCAAGGGGCCCAAGTTCGACATGAAGGCCCCCCAGGTGGACATCAAAGGGCCCAAGGTGGACCTGAAGGGCCTAAAAGGGGAGGTGAGTGTGCCCGACGTGGATGTGACACTGCCCAGCGCAGACGTGGACGTCCAGGCACCCACGGCCAAGTTGGAGGGTGACGTTACCCTGGGAGACAAGGAGGTGACCGCTAGAGACAGCAAGTTCAAAATGCCCAAGTTCAAGATGCCATCCTTC